GCGCTCCGGGCAACGATTTTCGCAGGCGTGTGATGCGAGCGTGTACATTTGAAGCACCTCTCTCCCCGATACAAGGCTGTGTCGTGTTTTCCTTTTTCCTCACGTTGAATTGATGTCGAGCTCAAATGCCTGACCCTTCAGACCCAACTCATCTTTCCTCTATTCTGCCTCGGTTTTTTTCCCCTTCCAACTGAATCCACATCGTTTAAAAAGAACCCAAGTGCACAAAGAGGAGAACGTAAAAAGGAATAAAACACCCCCACCCGCGTGTTGAGGACAATCAAACTGTCCCTGAAAGAGTCCATCCTACGTTTGGATTTCTGTTATAGCCCATTTCAAAATGTGTTTTTTTTTTACCCTTAATGTGCCTCTAACTCAAAAATGGCCCTTTTCTGATGATGCGTTTACCCAGCTTTCAGTAATGTGAACTTCACCCCATCAAGGCCACCTTCATGCTACTTTTATACCACCAAATAATAGCTGCTCGAGTTCTTCTGCACCCTTTGGCAAGGTTTATATTTATAAAAGGAAAAAAAAACACACACCAACATCTTATTCTGCCAAGAGAAAAAAAACCCCCTGTTTTCCAGTCGTGTGTTTTTCATAAAACGCTCACACGGGTGTGAACATTCTCTTCCTGTGTGAACCATTCATGAATTTCATCATGAGTAAGCCTCGGGTCTTTAAGTGCAACATGTTAAATCCTCACCAACCCCCCCCCCCCCATCCCAGATTTATGATTTGTTACGGTAAACTGTTGATGGCATCAAGAATTTATGATCCTGATTCATATTTGATGAGCTGTGCATTTTTCCATGCCAGTTATGCATATGTATGTATATTCATAGCGGGGTACAGTTGCTCTTGTGTAGCTTTTCACATTGCAGAACACTGTTGCCCGTCAGTCTGTTGGATTTTCATCCGCTATCCACAAAATGTCAGCGATCACTGTTTGATCTTTAATCAATGACAATTGATTAAATTGTTGTTGTTGTTCATTGGGATCATCGTCCTGTCAATGACCCAAGATTTGACTCGGACATTTGGCTCTTAAATACGTTGGCTAATTGAGCAGTCGATGGTCAACTCAATCCCCGCAATGTGTCCGGAAAGCCCAAACCATGAACCGTCCCCCACCATGCTTGACAGTCGATACAAAGTGTCTCTGCTGTGTTTGGGGCCATCCAGACAGGCCCCACTGCGCATTACGACCAAAGCTACAACCTTACGGTCACACACTTTAGCATTTAGCATGCTAGCGCCAGCCTGGTGAGTCTGAGATGTTTCTCTTGGGTTTTTTACAGGTCACTTTTCGGCAGGTCTTGGTTGAACTTTGACTGCTGGAGTGACTGGAGTGTGCAGTCTTGAATGTTCCGCGTCAACATTCATTCCGTGCCGTGTTTTTTCGTTTGCATAACGTTGTACTCACCTGATTTGAAAAGATCATAGGACCTAAACAATTCTGTTTTATGTGTACAAGTGAAAAACCGTCGCACTTACAACGGTTCTCCACCATATGAATGTGATTATCTCATTAGCTGCTCATGTTCTAGAGGATTTGCGGTTTTAGACATCAAAGGCTTCTTTTCTTTGGAGATATTCATTTGGCCATTGATATTCCATTAAGCCTAATCTCACTCAGCCGCTTCCAGTATTTTTGCTTTTTTTCTGTGTATTTACTGATGTATCCTTTCATAAATATTAATATTTACTAAAAAGACTGAGATACCTAGTCAGTAACACATTGAAAAGCTTCATTTTATTCCACTTTGGTAATGACTGGAAGTATTCCATCGGTGTTCCGAACGATGCAGAGAGCTTTTCCATCCCACAGCCCGTGACACAGAGACACCGGTGCCACCGGTGCCACCCCGGTCACTGTCGTCCTCAGAGCTTAATTACGGGTTTTTCATTTTTTCAACCAAAAAAAAGTACCCAGTTTCTCTTACGATGCTGAATAATTATACACATGAACAGCATTTGTCTTTGAATCAGGGCTCATATTTTAATGCCTTCACGCTGGAATCCCATAAAAGCACAGCATGTGTGAAAATCCCGTTCTGCTGCGGCTGTAATTGCTTTAGAAAATGTAATTAAAGGCTCACAAGAAGTTGAGCAGCATCATTAAACCTACCGAAGTTCCCTTAAGATGTTTTGTTCTTGACAAATCTGACAGCATGGATAATGTGTGGACGCTGACTGGAATGCAAATGGGTTATTACAGGCTCTGTGTGAGTGAAAAGGGAATTTTCAGCACGGTCTTTGAAACCAAAACAGGTCGATATTTAGTTAGATGCTCACTTGAAAAGCTAAAAACCTTTAGAGATCAGGCTGATATTTTTTTAAAGAGGCCTTCAAGCGCATGTAGTCTCTATGAAGAGCTAACGCTGAAAACTGCTGTGGTTATCAAGCAAATTTCTCCATACTCGAAGACTCCTTACAACCACGATGTTGCTAATTTTTCTGGTTTTTACGACTTTCCTTTGTTCGTTTAGACCGCATTTGTGTTTCCTTCGCATAAGATTATTGTCTATTTGCAATTTGTTGTTGTAATTTTCCAAATCTTTCCGCAACATGGTGTTGGTTTATAAAATTTCAATTGCGTTAAATCCCCACAATACCTGAGGACACTCGGTCTGGCTCCTGTCCGAAGCTTCTCCCCACAGCAGGCCCACGCCGACTCCTCTGCCCACTGATGTCTGTGCAGTTACAAAATGATTACAGAAAGCCTCAGATGTGGGTCCAATTTCATCACAGCAGCGGTTCATTGTTCCAGGACCACTTAAAAAGTGTCACTAATGTCCTCACTGATATGTTTCTGGCACCTGGCTCGACCTTGTTCTGCGCATTTCCTGTGAGTCAGAAGATAATTCACAAATTTCAGTTAAAAGGGGGACTTTGAACACAGTGCTGCGGAGTTCTTTGTGATGGATGTGGACAAAAATCCAGTTTCTTCTCTGTTCTTGAAGGAAGGAAGTCTATCACAAAGTGCAGTAAAGGGAGACTTTGCATTGCGTTTCACTTCTGCACACAGAAGAATGCAATCTTTGAAAGATTATAGGGGAATAGAAGGCCATTAAAGAGCTGAGTGGAGTAATAAAATAGGAGATTAATGCATTTAGTGCTCCAGTTGTTCTTTTCAGAGTTTAATAGCACCTGCGGGACTGCCTTCCTGGTTTTAAATGCACTGTTTAAATGACAAAATACAAATGTGTAATATTACTCCATTAAAAATGCAGCAGGTAATAGAACTGAATCTTTGTGCAGACGGAAATGTTCATAATGGGTCCTCTCCAGTAAATTCGATTTGTACCGAATTCAAAACTGTTTATTTACATGGATACCGAGCAACTCTGTTTACTCTCTCAGCAGTTAGAGACCACCTCAGAGGTTTGTTACCCTTCTACCTCGAAATGTTCCCCAAGAGACTTGCAGTTTACTCAACTGGAGAAGAAGATTACCTTTCTCCTCTCTCTGCCTCAACGTCCCTTATAATGATGGTTCAAGAGGGAGGCGGACAGAGATTTTATGAGAGAAACTGAGCTAGCATACTCTCCGAAAACACCAGCCCAAACTCTCCGGAATGTGTATAAAACTACACCATCAGTCAATCAATAGATTCCTTTTTGAACGATGAATAGAGAATACCGTACTGTGAATCTGTTCTTTTGAAGGTGTTGGTAACTCCGGGGTCAGCAGCCTGATATGGTAGCATTTTAACAAATCTGTTTTTCTTTTTGATGAAAATTCCTCCAAAGTATTTGTTTTTTTATTTGGCTTATCACATTCAACACGTGGGAAGATTTAAAAGACTGTACTGTATTGTTGTCTTTATTGTGTTGACGGCTCCGTTTTTAACTTGATGTTAATTTTAGCCAACGCTGTCGCACAACAGGAACCCAACTGCTGGATGGGAGTACAATAATTAGCAAGATTTCACACCTTTTCCATTCCAACTTAAATACACACTACATGGACAATGACAGTGAGGGCCCCTTAGTCTTTAATAAAAGCATTCGGGCAGAGCAAAAAATCCTCCCACTGTCATGAAGCTATTCAGTTACATACAAAAAACGGTCAGTAATTCATAAGAAAATCAATGTTATATCTCTGCTTAGAAAAAGTTATTTTTGTGGTAGATTATTTTTTAACAGAACGGCACAGTTGGTTTTGTTTCTTTTATTAGAAGATGTCTTACTTATAACTCAGATGGAGAGATGTCAGTGTTTTCACCTTCATACAGTAACTTTACTGTCACTTGTCCTTACTTCACACATTTATATAAAAAGAAAGTTAACATATAAAATCTTGGCTTAGGATTGTGATAAATACAAAAATGTGCAACAGCGTGTATGTGCTTTTACTACCAGAGAACATGGGAGTAAGTACAGGCATTTCACAGGTACAAAAGACAAAATTCTATAGAAATATATAAAGAGAATATTACATGTAGGTCAACTAAGGGTAGTGTTCGCAAAGGAGGGTATCCTATATTTTTGACCATGTTGTATCTATATTTATTATAAAGATTAAACCGGCTGTCAGCCAGACGATCTACTGCAACATATTAGGTTAGATTTACACAGATAAGACGTGTTTAGATTTGATGGCGAGTTATTTCTGATCTAAGCTATGCTCATATGTCTTGTCCTCGCAGTGTGACTCATAAAAGGACAATAAATAACAGGGCTGATGTCACACACTGATCCCATCTCGGGAAAGAGAGCCATGTCAATTCTTGGGGTGAGGTTGACCTAACTGGAGTTTAAATCCTAAATCTCAGGCTGATTGGGTTGTCAACTGTAATGAACGGGAAAAAATGGACGGATGTTAATTCATGTATCAAGAACCGAGTGGTGAAGGTCCTCTGCTTGTTTTCAGGTCTTGTTCTACCACTTATTTCTGATACATGAGAGTAATCACAAGCAGCAGATCTCAACTCTGCCACAGAGGGATTTGTTTTTTCCGGCGTTGAAACACGAGGCGTACGCTTCATTCAGTCAAAACCTCCTCGAAGCCCGAGAGCCCTGGGATGAGCGTCGGAGCAGCGGGTTCCCCGCCTCGATTTCTCTTGGATCTCTGTTTTCAGGGGCCCAGACTTGAGGAGGTGGCAGCTGAGGAGGTTGCACCAGTCCTCTCCCTCCTTCTGGCTCCTCAGCGCCAATGTCTTCTTCTTCTTCTTCTTCTACTTCTTCTACTTCATCTTCCGGCCTATGTGAGCTGCGTCTCCTAGGCGTGGGCAGCGGTGCTTTTCTGCCCCTGAGGCTGGAGCCAGGACCTCTTTCGTCCAAAAAGCTTATCCCAGCAGCTGAGGCGTGTGGCTGCTCAGACGCAGCCGGGGTCTCCCCGGGATTCCGCTGTTCCTTGATCGTGTTCAGCCTTCTCATGGAGACCAAAGAGCGGGATGAAGAGCGCGGAGAAACCCCAGAGGATAGAAGCCGATCCACCTCCGGAGGAGCTGATAACATAAGCGGTTGAGTATCAAAACCACTTAGTTTTCCGAATCGGAACGACCAAGCGCTTAAAAACAAAACAAAACAAGGAAAAACAATATATCTTAAAAGCTCACCATGACCACGTCTTCTGAGGGGGAATTCGGACTCCAGAGTCCCTCCAGGTTGGAGGGAGTAGTATTTCTGAGACTTGGACATGCTGCGGTCCGGCTAAAGGAGGAGAAACGGTGGCAATGAGGTGAAAGGAAAAAGGGGCAAGTTCCGAGTTCTGCCCCATTAAGACCAACGTGCACCTGCTCGCGGAAACTCTCAGCACGGAGACTGCGTCTGATGCTGGCATGGCGACGGATGAGAATCTCCCTGTCTCTGGTGTTGTCAGGCAGATGGTATTTATTGGTGTAGGCCATGGCCTAAAGGGGCACAACTGCTGTTAGAATGAAATTCTTTCCCGAATAGATTACAACATTGATAGATGCTTTACATCTCTTTAGGCATTGCATGGTTATGAACTTCAGGTCATTTCCATTAGCACCGTCCTGGAGAGCAGTAGTTGAAAATGGATGTGATCCCAGGAAAAATTACAGTAGTGAAATAAAATTGTCTTTTATTCTTGGACAAACACAAGCAGAAAGTGTTGACAAAGCTAACTAAACGGCTGCTTAAGCAAGAGGCGCGGCTTTGCTCTTACCCGGTGTCGGATCTTGTACATGTTCTTTGACAGGATGTCATGCATCTTTAGCACATCAGCCGCCAGGAACTTCCTCTTCGGACGAGACGCCTCCTTCTTCTCGTCCCTAAGGAGATGGCAAGCACAAAGAACAGAGCGTGAAGTGGAGAGCTCTGTCTTTGTTGCTGGCATGAAGGCGGACTCAGAACACCTTGGTTATGTTGATCACCATAACTCAATATGACAGAATTCAAGGGGAAAACGGCTGAACTTGTCCTTTTCATCTGATGTTTTTCATTTATCCTACAATGTTTTCTAATTTGTGTCTTCTAAAAAGGCAAAACAAAAAAACTCTTTGCTGAGATGTCTGCTGCCTTTTCTTCTCTTATATCACTAACAAAGCAGATGTCAGACCATTTAAAAAAAGATACAACACCACAAAAAACATTTGGATTTCTATTTTCTTTGGGAGGTCCGCCAAAATTGCAAAAGCATTATCAAAGCATATATCTGTGCCCCATTCTCAGCATCTCTTTCCCTATTCACCTCAGCCTTTTGCTTTCAAGCAAGAAGTTGTTTTTCACTTGAAATGCAAAGTCCAATCTGTTCCCGACTTCCTTTGACGGATTACAAACGGCTACTTAGCACATGTACAAGTCAACACCCTCCCGTCGCCGTGACCTGCTCACCAATGCGGCCCCCTTAATCCCAGTTTTTTATTTCTTTGTCGACAGGCTACGCACTATGGAGCTTTAACGCTGCTGTAATGAACCCTTTTTTCCAAAAAGAGCAACACCTGCTTTTGATCCGAAAGAGCCATCAACTGAATTATTGATGTTCAACTTCCCTTTTCATGTCTCAAGTTCTTGGAGAAAAAGTTGCCATGTGTCAGGGCAAGCCTAGGGTTGCGGCACTAAGCTTGTTTATGGCTCTGAACAGTGCCGGGCTGGTAATGTTTGCATGTCAGTATTGAATTGTGATCACATTGGTGATGAAGCAGTCTTTACATCCTTAAATCAACTTAGCCAGAGTCTTTGTCATGAAACTGCCCAAAGCGCCTCCAAGTTACAATGGGCTTCATCGTTTCTTCCAATTTTTCTCTTCATTCAGATAACCTTTTTGTTACTTTGCAACCGTGGATGTTTCGGACAGCTACAGTATTTGCTCATCTTTGGTCACTAATTGTTGGTCATCTGTTCCGTACTATCACATTTTCTCCAACTGTATCACTGAAGCCCAGGGAACTGGAGATTTTAACAGATTACTCACTGCAGGGAAATGATAGAGGGAGCAGCACTGATGTCTCCCATCGGCGTGTCCAGCAGCTCAATGGCGTTTTGCAGCTCTAGCTTCTTGTACAGGGACACAATGCTGGACTCGGCCCTGTTGTCTCGCAGCAGGATGCGCCTCAGAATGCGATCGTTGAACTTTTTGAACCTTGCATGCAAACACATGGCAGTTAGAACCGTGTGGAGCTCACCGTGTGGACTGTATCTGTCACTTCAAAACAAAAGTACTTGTCTTTCCAGTAGTAGTGGCCCCACTGCCCACACACGTCCTCAATGCCGCAGACTAAATGTTCCATCACCTGGATTAGATTTCAAACACACAGTCAGTAAGGGAAAAATTATAGCCACCGAAAGGGGGGATATACAGATCAAGCAAGAACTGAACATACCCTGGTGTGAATCTCTACATTAATGGTGTTGAGGTCTTTGTTGGTCCTCCTGATGTTGATATACTCCACTATGGGTCGAATGCTGATGCCCTGCAAGGAAAGTCGTCAGAGTGACTTAACCAGAAGCAAAAAAACAAACAAAAAAACATGAATCTGGTTCTAGTTTGCGGCCCACCTGTATGAAAACGGTGAATATGATAACGGCTATGGAGGCGGTGACAAACAGCTTCCTTCTGATGATGGAATCTGGCAACGTGAAGACCAGGGCAAAGCAGATCGCCCCTCTCAGACCCCCATAGGCAAGGCCAAATTGGTCCTTTAAATTGAACTGGATTGTACGGAACGGGTTGATGATCTGAGTGAGTACTAGAATGCCTACAGAGAGGAAGCAGGGAACATAACACATACGAAGTGTCAGAGTGATGGCTGATTGAATCACGCTTTCTCTAGGCTCTAGCGTCTTCTAAACGTGTCGAACATAACACAAACGGAGCCTCTCACCAATCCCTCTCCACAAGAAGGCGAACAGCAGAGTGAATAGCACATAGGCCCAGTTCCACTCATGCTCAGTTGTTATGGTAACAACACCCAGAAAGAAGAAGATGAGTGTTTCGGAGACGGTTGCCAGCATCTTGACAACGTGGCGAATGGTGGTGCAGGATCTCTGGGAAACATTCTCCTCCACGTAATACTTCATGGTTATGGCACAAGTTATGATGCTGTGCGAAGGAGAAAGAAAATAAACTTTTGTCAGATCAATTTCCACTTCTTAATAGGCTTTAAGCAGATTCCCAAAAAATGTGTTTACTAGCTGGTCTATCTTCAAAGTGAGCCGCTTCTTCTCATAGTTTAAACTATTACATCAAGACTTTTTTCTTACAATTGCTCACACGAAAAGTATAATTTTAGCCTTTTAAAGAGTAGGGAAAAGCTAAGCAGTGAGGTTTAGTGAAGCTATTATTGTGATGTTTTGAGGTCCCATTAAACCAATGACAACAAGAAATAAATAGCTAGTTTTTTGTTGTTTTTTAAAAATCTTTTACGTCATCTTAAAGTGCTGCAGGTCTGCAGGAACTGACCAGTTGGCAGTTCAAACCAAAACAAAGTGACATGGGGTAAATACTGCCCTCTAGTGGAAGAACTTTTCCAGTGCACCCATCTCTAAAATGAAGTCTCAGTTTCATCCACTGCATGCCATTGAAGGCTCTAGTGACATTAGCATGTTGTTGGTAATGGGACATAAAAGTCAACACTGCACAGCATATTTTTGGGGTTTGTCCTGGTGTAATCACAATCCTTAAGTAGATCTTTTTCCAATCTGAGTTTCAAGTGCATAATCAGCCAATGGTATTTAGCAGTTTCCCAGTTCTTCTTATTGTTTTGCAAATGCAGCCTATTTCTCACCTCATTAAAGTACGGCAGTACAGCACCTTGATAGAAAATGCCAAAGAATCCCATTCTGAGTTTGCATCATGTTCATTTTGGCAGAAAACTATCCAGACAAACCAGTTTCTTACAAGATGATCAGGGCAGGGAAACACTGTATTGCTTGTGAGCGGAAGAAAACTAAGTCAATATTTCACCCTTGTCTTTGTTTGTGTGTCTTTTGGAAGAGGAAGGAAGTGTTCCATCTTTTTTTCTACCTGCTTTAAGGGGAGCATGTTGTGCACAGACGGGCCCTCGAGTTAATACTTGATAAGACTTCATGTTTAATGGGATGCCCCTGTTTTTAGGTTGTTTTTTTCCGATGAGCATGCGTGTTTTTCCTTCACTTACGCCAACACGCTGGAGATGGCGAACAGCTCCGCCACAAGGTACGCCAGGTAGCTGTACATGAAGACGAAGAGGGGCTCGATCTCGCGGACTTTGCTCGTGAACCTGGAGGTGAAGGCAGCCACGAAGCCAAAGAGGAGTCCAAAGAGGATCCCTCCCACACCCACCACGAAGAACCGGGCAACTCCCAGGAAAACGTCACCGGATTCGACTACCGACATTTCGGCCAAAAAGGCAAACATGCCGTAGAGCACCTGCAGAGACAGATGGCAAGCATGCAGAACGGGCTGGGGGGAGTTGTTCACTCCAACAATTAATTATAATTCAGCTCGGTTCACAAGGAAAACTCATTTTCTACCCTAATTGGTACAATAAACATCACGGTAAACTGACCGTCACCAGGTAAGATTAATCAGTCTCTATAATTAAATTACACCAGGCATAACATTTAAAGCCTGTATGCATGATGTTTCATCATCCATTGGCTTGGCGGTCCATCTCGGTAAAGATAAAAACAAAGCAGTAGTCAGAGTGAAACTTGCCTTCTTAGGTGAAACCCAGCCAAACCAGTTGTTACTTAGTATGAGTTTCCCTTACAACAATGCAAAACCTGCCAAACAGGCATTCACTCTGTGTCAGGCGGGGCATACTATAGCTTAAAAAAAAAAGTGGGTGTCTGGATGAAAGGACTGCAAGGAAAAGAAGCCCCACATGAATCAAGACACTAGTTACACAGTGGCAACTACTGTAAAGCCTGAATTCTATATAAAACATATACAGACAAACAAGCTATATTTACTCATATGGCGTTTCTTAACACAATTGGATTAGAAATTTGTCACAAACCGAACCAAAATTTACCTAATGTCCATGTCATTATTTGCATACTAATAACAACATTTCCAAACAGTCAGTTTTGTAAATGATCGCTACTCTGGAAAATTGTAGCCCTCAAAACTTACCACAGTGACAGCATCATTGAAGAGCCCTTCTCCAAATATGACTATGTAGATCTGCTCATTCACTCCAATGTCATCAAACACATTGAGAGCCGCCACTGGGTCCACAGCGGAGATGATGGAGGCGAAGAGGAGGTTCTCCTGCGGCAACAAGAGTGGGAAAATGTCAGTTTACGCCATTATGTAACACCCCGATCAGTTGGATGATGTGTGATGTGTTGGAAAGTGTTTCCTAAGTTTTGATGGCATTCACGCTGCCCTGCGTGAGGCTAACTGACCTGCAAGTTAAAGTCTTGTAGATCAAAAATTTCAAACTGGCAGATCGCGAAGAGCGAGAGGCCTATCCCGATGCTGTTCCACAGAGTTCCCACCACGGCGTACCACAGCACTGTGCCGATGTTCTCAAAGAACGGCCTCGTGGGCATGAAGTAGCCGCTGTCCAGGATGATGGGCGGAAGCATGTAGAGGAAGAAGACGTTGGTGTCCAGCACGGCGGGGGGCTCCTCCTTCACTGAGTGCATGATGGCGCCAACAATCAGGCCGATGGCAATCAGGAGGCATGACTCCGGGACCCAGATGGTTATCTTCTGATAAATGTTAAAACCTGGACAGAGAGGGAATGAATCAGAAGCAAGACTAGATCCCCTACACCTTCCACCGAGGCATTCAGGGCGAAAAGCCTCATTCAAAACCTGTTTTCCTAAACAGGTCTCATGTCTATTTTGTCACATACCGATTTTGGCAAAGGAGGCCAGCAGGACCCACAACGTGAACTCAAAGGGGATCTGGATCCGAGGGTAGTCCATAGTAAACACAGGGAGATGGGCATTCTCCTCCTCGGGGTAGGCCTGAGGTTGATTGATATCATCAGGGTAAGGCTTGGCGCTCTCCAAGTTGGTCGGTGGGGAAGGTTTGGTCTCCTGAAGTTCACATTTTCCTCCAGCGTAACACAGCAGGATCAGGAAAAGCGCAAGGGCTGCGCTATTAGTCCTGACTGAGAAAACGGGGGTCCCCATTTTTAAACGGAAAAAATAAATAAATAAAAAAACACTCAACCGGCCTCCAAGTTCCTAATAAAACACAGAAGTGCTGCGGTTGTGGGTTTAGGCCATTCCGTAGTTAGTGTGATATTACAGCAGGTCCATTTGAGAAAATCCAAAAGGGAAGAAGTCCCTCTGCAGCCTTGAGAGAGACTTGGGTGCAAATCTGGTTTCAACTGTTGCAGAACCTGCTTTTACCCCCGGCCTTGCCTACTGGGTGGAGCTGCATGTCCAAAATGACATGAAGAAGAAAAAAACACCAATAGGAAAAAGGTGGACCCTGTGTTGCTTTGTGTGTCGTCATCAGAGGAAATGTTTAGCCTGTGTAACTTAACCCTAACAAGCTTTGACACAGATGAGCCACTTTGACTGGGAGTGAATTTTCCAACAGGTTAAGAAAAGGTCTGGAAAGCTTGTTTTCTCACAGTTCCATATAAAACCCACACGATGGCAGTAGAGGGCAGTAAATTATGTCTTTGGCTGGCTAATCCTGTTTTAATTGTAATGTCGCAGTAAAGAGAGTGAAATTTGGCATCATATATAGCAATAGAGATGGTTTATTATATCATAAAATAATATATCATTAAAAAATAAATGAACCTACAGATACCAGCTAAAACAAGCTCTTTACTGCCACCTGTTATTCATGTGTGTACACAATAGATATTTTCGGCCGCATGACCCAAACTTCCTCTTTATGTTGCCTTTATTACACTGCTTATCTTCATATATTCACAAGGTTATCTTTGCGGTTGTTCTTGATAAACAAATTAAGTCATTACACATCTTCACAGGCTTCAGCTTAAATATTTAATTTTCTGGAGCTGCCACTTTTACTTTGGCCAGTGCCCTGTGTTTTTGGTAATGGAAATCAATGCTGAGTATCTCATGGTCGTGCATTGTATATCTGGTTGACATTTCCATACAGGAAGCTCTTTTTTTTTTATATTGTTCTTATCTCTCATTTTGAGCATTACAGAAGTTGAGTTTATCTACTGATTATATGTTGAGGGGGAAAAATCTTTATTTGTAAAACATTTATTTATTTGGATGCATTATCTTTAACTTAATGTAATTTTCATTCGATTTAATGTAATTAACTGGTGGAACAGAAGGTTTCAAAACTTCGAAATTGACATAACTGCAAAAGTTGACATAATTTATTGAACATTAGCGTTAAAAAATAATGTATACGTAGCTTTCTAATAAATAACAAAAATTCCCCCATTGGTTTGAACTTTCTTCAACACAGCTCTAGTGCGTGATGACGTAGGGTGCGTATCACGTAGAAGGCGTCGCCTCGAGCCCAGCCGACTCTGCTGCTCCAACGTCTGGAGACAGAAAACGGTGCGGCAACGAGAGGACGCGCACCTCCCTGTACTTGTGTCATTAGCTTCTTTCGGATATTCTTCCCCCCCAAACACAGCCGAACCGGTAAGAATGACTTTCAACTCTGAATTCAAACTGTGCTGACACAGCACGTGACAGGACGTTTTATGGGGACGCCGCGAGCTAACGGCCGCGTCTTTGCCAGTGTTTTAGACTGTTAGCCATAAGTTGTTGAACGGGGGCTTTAGTTTGGTTCTGGTTGTTGGGGCTGTAAAGACATTTCTGCTGGAGAAACCTGCTTTTTTAGACACGACGAGGAGCGAACGTGACACTCGAGACTGAGGCCAGACGCTCGGGAGCAGTTGGGGACATCGAATAAAGCCGAGTGCCTGTGTCAGGATGGGGTAAAGTACCGGACAGCACAAAGAATATTGCTGGCAGGAAGTATTTTATAGTATCAGGGGGGTTTTCAGTGTGTACAGCCGGTTTTACCTAAAGAAAACACTTCTGAGTGCATTACGTAACTTTATACGGAAACTGTATTCCCCTCCATGTGTCAATAGTCTTATGTTGTGTAGTTGGTGTAAATATTGCTTCATCCTTCCTGCAGGTGCCTCTTTGTTTCATATAGATGCAGAAGTGTTGTCTCACACAGCAAAACATCACTGGTGTGTGTGTATATATGTGTGTGTGTGTGTGTTTACTGCATGCTGAGGGTGGATGCGCACATGTGGTCCTCTCCTGTCCACTGCAGTCCAGCTGGTTTTGGGTTTCGCTGTGCACCGGTCAAAGTCAGATGTGGAGGGAGGATGCAGAGGCCGGGCTTTGGTTTTCCCCGAAACAACCCCCCTGGACAAGAGCATGTCACAGACAAATCGCCCAGCAAATCACAGCCACTCTGAGCTCTAATCTGATAGCGTGCCTTTCCGCCTTTTGTGATCCATACTTTGAATACCTGCTAGACTAAAATACAAACATGTGTGCGGGCTTTAGTGAGTTGTTGCACCGGGCAGATTTACAGGAGAAGAAGTATAGGGCTGTCAATGTTGTTTCTCGGTAAGACTGGAGCACAGGAAGTCTGAAAAATCAAGTGGTTTGGTAAAAAAAAGTGGTGTGAAAAGTCAGTGTTTTTAGAAGTGCAGTTTTAGATATTTCACTCACACATTTGGCCACATTTGAAATGATCTTTATTCATAACTTTGTTGTCGAAGGCCCCATTTGAAAATGAAGATCTGTGGTGCTTTGCCTGCCCTTTAGATGGATTCTGTCTGCCAACCATCTGTATTTCAACACACATGGCTGCTCTTTACTCCCTCTCTGTCTCCTTGCTTGGCTCGGATCGGATGTTGGTTTAAAAGTTGCCTCCGTCTGCTTGGAATAACCAAACTGAGCTGCGGAAGAGAATATTGTTAGTTCTCCGTCTTCAAAAGGTGGCCTGAATTTGTCATGTACCTCGTCTGACTTTGAGTTTCTCATTTAGACTTATTAGGTCAGAATAAATAGCTTTGAGATGATCTGAGGTCCTTAAAGAGAACGCTCTTTCTAATAGAATAGCTTCCAATACCTTATCAGTGGTTTTCGATTATGATTACATACTTTATGCTCTGTATGTATGGACTGACTTTAATCCATGTGTGTGAGTGTGTGTGTGTGTGTGTGTGTGGTGACTCATCAAACTCTCCCACTCAGCCCCGAGCTGAGGGCACAGCTGAACCCTGTTGATTCAGCCCTCATCTGCTCCTTCCTCTGTTTCTGGGCGTCTTTGTCACGTGTGTGCCGTCGCCGGCGAACGTCCGCAGCCCACCGAGGCTTTATTGCTCATCCGTGTGTGTGTGTGTGTTTGTGTGTGTGATGACTGAGGCAAATAGCTTATGTAATACAGGGAAGGAGGCTTCTAATGGGCTGTATCTGTATCCGTAACCCGCCGGTGTCATGGGCCATCCTGGATTCCCAGCACGAACCGCACACAGTTCTCGAAAATATTTTCTTTATTGATTTATTAATAGTCCATTTTTTTCCATCAACAACAGTCCGGCCTATCCCCCTAAATGTGAGTCGGGAGTCAAACACGTCTTATTTACTCAAAGCTGCCAAACGCCCCCGGACCCCCTCTCAGCTCACATGCAAACAAACACGCTCAGAGGGATGTCGGCCCCCTTATTCATGCACGGACTCACACAGCGGCGCCCTTTCTTATTAATGAGGAGCATCAGAAGCGAGCGTGGCAGGCAACGTGACGCCCATGCTCACGGCCTCTGAGAGCACCGACCATCTGACACAGTGTCTGTCCCCCAGAAAAACACTTCTCCCTCTGCTCTGGACGGGGAATCGGACAAGGCAACGCTTCACAGAAAGCTGCTTTCTGAAAGCTTCCGCTGCCTCCTAGGATTCATTTTTTTGTAATGTTTTACATCTAAACAGCCAGTAGTATGAAATGATCCTTGTATTGTCGAAAAGGGTATGTTAAAAATCGCTGAGTCCTCCTTAAAGGACTTTTCTTCCAGAAACAGTAAGGTCCAGATGCATCTCCCCGGTGATTTGTATCTGCCTTTAGTCGGAGAACATGTCTGAAATGTGAATCCCTCCTGACCAACATGGCCAAAACCACGAAAACTATGGCTTTCATCCATCATTTTTTCTCTTTTTTTTTTGTTGACTAATGTCGCTTTAACCGGCGACCGTCTCTATATTTCCTCCTCTCCCCGGGGGGACCAAACGGGGCAGACGCGAGGCGCCGTTGCCGCTTTTGCCGCAGACGAGGCAGCGAGAGAGTTAACGGGGGGCCGGAGGGGAGAGGAGGCAGAGGAGAGGCAGCTGCAGTGGCTCTGCCTCGTGACGGAGTCTGCAGCGTGAGTTTGTTTACATCCAGCCTCTGCAGACGAGCGAGGGCAGTGTGTGCGCGCTTGTGTGTGTCTGTGTGTGTGTCTGTGTGTGTGTGTGTGCAGACTGCCTTCTACTCCGGCTCGTCGGTGCCACGCTGCGATGTCCAACAACAGATCTGCGACGTCGCTCTTGAGAAAGCCGTCGTCTGACAGGATAAGCGCCCTCAGACTCGGCCTTAGGGGGGAAGGCCCCCCCCCCCACCTCGCTGGGTAGGAGGCTACTGCGTACAGGGAGGCGTGCTAGAACGAGGGCCTAAACGGGCCTCCCCCATGGCTCCCCGGCCATGTCGTCTGTTTGGTGCGTGCCTCTATTCAGGTTTTAGCTGCCAAACGGAGCCCTAACTCAAGGTGCCACTGTGTGTCTCTGTAGCAGTAAAATAATGGGCCTTTTTTTTCCTGCAGAAAAGAATTTAACTTCCTGTGCGCATGTTCACCGTCCCTGCCCTGTTCCGCTGACAGCAATCAGATAGCTGCAAAGAGACATTTATTTATTTATTTATTTAATCAGGACAGTGCACATTAATGAACAATCTCATACAGATTGTAAATGAGCCAGATTATAGCATAGTTGCTAGTTTACATCTGTCGTCCTGAGGCAGGGAAGACCAAACAACACAAAATCACAAAATACAAAATCAGTCCAAACACACGTTTAGACAATGACATTACAAAATTAAAATTATTTCAATTCAATTCAATTTCATTTATATAGCGCCACATCACAACAACAGTTGTCTCACAGCGCCTTCCAAACAGAGCAGGTCA